TTCGTACGCGAGGCCTAGACGTGCTTGAAGGTTGGTACCGCGGTCCAGGATGGCACTTGGCTGGGGAAACCACTCGCAAAATTTTTGCGCCGGAGCTTGCTTGAGTGCCGAGCTGAAACACGCAGACAGACATACACACATACATACATACACACACACCGGGGTCGTCACAATATGTGTTTTTGCATATTATGCAAAAACGCATAACGAGTCAGTGATTCTTTCGGGAGACAGAAACCCAGGCTGGGACGCACCAGGCGAGCCGGCACGATCATGCGTTTTTGCATCAAACTTTGAAGTACTGTCTCTCATAGAGGGGGAATAGGGAAAAAAGAAGGGGTTCCACATTATGCGACCATTTAGCTGAGGACGGGGTTTGATCATTTGTACGAATCGACAAATTAACGGCCCATCGCTACCCCGCACATTGACCAGGACAACTTCTACTTCCTAGCTTTCGCAGTTCTGGAGGCGAGATGAACTAGTACACCCCTCATTTCCAACTACCACTGCATTTCGCTATTTCCCTTCTCTCTCCTCTTCCTCGCCCGCCCAGGCCAGGATACCAATGATGTGGGCGGAACCGTCTCGGCGCCCCTCCCCTCGCCTAATTCACCGCCATTAGCACGTAATGTCCAGGAAAGCCAATGACACATCGATAATTTCTTTCTCGTCTTCTCCCCAGTACCCCATTCATACGCTGTACATCATATGCTCGTCATATACCTAGCGGGTAAGAGGCTGTACTGATGATTCCCATTCCTACCGGCATGCTGCTACGTTCATGCATTTGTAGCTGAAGGATGAAACGCAGGCTGCATCCCAAACGGGATGCTTGGAGCAAACTGACTTTTTACCTCCCGCTCTAGTAATTTTTTACGTCTCGCTCTAGTAATTTTTCGCGCAATCGTGAAAAATTACTAGAGCGAGACGTAAAAAATTACTAGAGCGGGAGGTAAAAACATGAAGCTCATGGTTCATCCTAATCTCTAAAAACGGCAACATTCAAGAGAGATGATGGTGATGCTCAAGAAACACTCATGACCTATTCGCAACAGCTAAAACCTCATCAAATGTTTCGGCAGTACTGCTGCACTGGTAATTCCTTCAAAAGACCAAAATGAACGTCAAAAACACTGGAATGATGATCATCAGGCAAAGTATCTAGGACAACCGTCAATTGTAGTTTAAATTTAGATATTTTATGGTTATGAAAAAGATGGTAGAAAGATAAAAGTAAAAACAAAAATAAAAGTTAAAATCCGAATCGGAATGTTTCGGTCCATTAAATCGCATACATTCCCATTCAATGCTGCAACTGTAGGAGTGCAAGAATGAAGCAACTACTAAAACTCGGCTCGGCTCGGTTTGGTTCGGCCGTGTAACATGCACTCGTTCTCGTGCGTTTCTGCGCTCAAGCTACGAAAATCGTAGGATTTTTCATCCAGCCGGGATTGTGACGTTGCGTCCAAGACTGTTAATTCCCATTCAGTAACAAAATTTTATGCGAAGGCATTAAAAACCCGTCCAACCTCG